TAGTTAAGTTAACTACTAGTAGTAGTAGTGTATATTACTTTATTACTTATAATTAATTAAAATTAAAATTAAAATTAAATAACTAACTACAACACACACACACACACACACTAAATATATATATATATATATATATATATATATATATATATATATATTGAAAATTAACGGCCCAAGTAATACGTTGCAAAATGTATTATTTTGAAGACTTGAAATCTCTTGATAGCAACACACTATTTTTAAGACTTGAAATCTCTTTAATTCTCATATCTATACATCTCAATATCGAGATGATCAACTAGATATTTTTTCATAAAAAAGCAACCTTTTTTGAAGGATTTTAAAGGTGCATCTTAATTTTACATGTTAAGATATAACCTTACATAAATGTTTTTTTGGTGAGAACTTAGCGAAGAACTCAAAATCCAATTCTATTTTAAAAAACAATTATTTCATGCGGGATGGACCATATTTCTACAATATGTGGTCAGTCCCGAAATATAAAGCTTCCATCTTAAAGATGGATGCAAATAGGTGGTCCATCTAAAAACAACAAGTATAAAGCTTCCATCTTAAAGATGGATACAAATAGTTGGTCCATCTAAAAACAATTGAAACTAACAGTCCAATTGTTTTCTTAACAGAATTATTATTAAAATTTTCAAAAAAAAAATATTTATTTTTTCCCATGTCTTTAAAAATTAAGTCCAAAAATCCATCTCAAATAGAGATTTTTAAGAGGTGACTCATAGAAATCGTGTCCTAAAATCTCTCAATTATAGATTTTTAAGAGGTGACTCATAGAAACCGTGTCCTGTTAAAAATAATCACCAAATTTTAAGATAAGGACAGACAGTTGGCCTTCTCAAAATGATAAGGAATCAGTTAACATCCATACCAAGAAAAGGAGACAATTGGCCTTCTCAAAATGATAAGGAATCAGTTAACATCCATACCAAGAAAAGGATTGCTCAAAAGATGAATGGACCAGCCAGATCTGACAATTGGAGCCACTTATGCCGTTTCAGCACCAGAGCGACACAACATACAAGACTACCTTCTCATACCAACATGCTGCCTGTCAGAAAATCTCCCCATGGTGTACCGGAAATAAAGGCCAAACAGAACCACGCTGATTTGCATCCTATGATTGTATAAGATTTAGCGAGAGAAAGCGAGCTTTGACGGATGGACTGGACATTGAAAATTTAAAACTTCCCATGAATATACGAAGATTTCGAGTGAGAGAGAGCTTTGGAATATTCCTCTGGCTGATTTTTCAAACGGCCTTTCGATTCGCATCATTTTCTTAGGAAAGGTCTGGATAAAATAGAAATTTGAGTCGATATTGGAAAGCAACCACACACGAACAGAAAAACCAGCGCCGGCTAATATTGATTTACTACCCTTCAACTTTTCACCCAGTGTTTTTTCTTTTCTTTTTCTTAACGCTAAAAAACGAGCTAAACATGATAAACAACAGTGGATAAAAAATACAAAATAAACAACAGTGGATAAAATATCAGAGAGTAGGCGAGGCCATAACAGACGAGACACAAGACAGCATTCACATGTAAATTACTACTACTTTCTTTTCTCATTATTACCTTCACTCCAAATACCCCATACAACATACCGTATAATATAACCGAAACCAAAGCACAACAAAAGCAAGGAAAGAACTAAATAAAGAAAAAAAAAAAAACACAGGAAACACGGGCTCTTAAAGAAGTGAGACAGAGACGAGCTCAAATCCAATTAAAATTACACCTTCACTTTACACCCAGGATTAATTAAATAGAGAATTATCATCATTTTTATCTGTCTGTTTTGGACATAGGTAAAAAAAACCAGAGTTCTTCCACCAACCGTAAAAAAACCGGAGTTCTTCTACCAACCAAGATGAGATTAAGAAAGGGCTCAGCCAGAAGGTTACTTTTGTTCAGCAGCTACGCCAAGCTCTCTCTCTATCTCTACTCTCTCATCTCTCTCACTCACTCTACTTGATGTATTGGGACATCTCTCTCACTCACTCTATCTACTTGATGTATTGGGACACACTCCTATCTACTTGATGTATTCTCTCTCACTCACTCTCACCCTCAGTCTCACTCTAATTGATGTATTGGGCACTCACTCTAGTCTCACTCTCACTCTACTTGATGTATTGGGAAAACTACTCTCACTCTCACTCTACTTGATGTATTGGGACAACCACTTGAAACCATCTCCATATCCCATCTTGCGGACAATGCTGCACATGAAGACCTCAAGGGGTCGGACATTGGAGTCAGAAAGGACTACTTTGCCCTTGCCAGTGGTGAAATTCGTGAGGCCGAGATAGTAGCGAAGCTCATCTTCAGAGGCGGCATAGGGAATATCAATCTTGTTGCCCAATACAAGAAAGGGAACTGCAGCTAACGAGTCATCGGAGAGGAGCGCGTCAAGCTCCTTCTTCGATTCTGCAAACCTCTCCTTGTCAGCTGCATCCACTAAGTAGACCACCGCATCCACCTGAAATTTTGAATTGGATTAATTTGCATCGAAAAAGATAGTGGAAGGGAAGAACGACCATTTTGTGTCAAAGATGTCGAAGACCCCAACTTGGATGTGCTCGTGTTTCTAACCAAAGAGATCAACATGAGTCATAAGCCTCCCAATCATGACCATGGGCAATGATATTCATAATACATAAACAAAGAAGGCAAACATCCCATCCCTCGTAAAAAACTTTCTTAGACATATTATGCATTAACCATTAATATATTTTCATCAGTTTCAAAGAATAACTAAACAGTGAAAGCCGTAGAGCAGAAGTAGTCATTACAGATAATCAAAGAAGGCAAACTAATCAGTGAAGCCATAATTCCTAAAAAAAAAAGAAAAAAAAGAAAGAAAAAAAAAGATCAGATCTATATTCCTGCAGGAAATTTATCAAAATACCTATAGGAGATGATGCACAATTTAGTATTTTAGACTTTTGACACTATTCCAACTCACAATCATGAGTCTTTTTATTGGTATTTTAAAATTAAATCAAACACTATCGATGCAATGTTAAATAGTTCATCTGACATGCGTATTTTCATAATTTTCCTTACTATGCACGCATGAAGAGCGGCCAGGTTCCGAAACCTCAAAACTGAGTGCAGAGAGGTTGAGAAGCACACAATAGAAACAATTAATAGATAGGAAGGCAATGAAGGAAGATCAGATTGCAGATAGACCCAAAAACCTCAGGCCCACTGTAACCCATAAAGGTAGTAGATCTTGCACTGAATATCAGTAAGTCAGGATACAAATAACCAAGCATATTTGGCAATCATGACATGACCCATTTACACTGGAATTTGAGGACATGCACTTAAAGAAAACATAGAGAATTTAATAGAAAAGTATATTTGGCAATTATGGCATGACCCATTTACACTGGAATCTGAGGACATGCACTTAAAGAAAATACAGAGAACTTAATAGAAAACACAGAATTTAATTTCCAGTTAGAACTTCAACCAAACATCCACACAGAAAATAAGCCAAATCCTCAAATCCTCTCTTTTAGCCCATCGCATGGGCATGAAAATAAGCCAAATCCTCAAATCCTTCGCATGAAAATAAGCCAAATTCTCTCTTTCGGCCCATCACATGTTTCGTATGTGCTAATCTACATAATGTAATTGACAACCTTGTCAGTCTGTCAATTCCAAACCCATGCAAGTTAACCCTTACCTTATTGCCCTACCCAACTACTAGTATACTTTGAGATAAACGATAAAACATTCATTGACGCAGTACCAAAGCACCAATTACAATTATGTTGCCGAACCTCTAGGGATCTACCAAGGTGATAACCTTCTATGATCAAGCAAATATCCACACAGAAAATAAGCCAAATCCTCTCTTTTAGCCCATAGCATGGGCAATAAGCGCAATCCTCAAATCCTCTCTTTTAGCCTATCGCATGACAATTATGTTGCCGAACCTCTAGGGATCTACCAAGGTGATAACCTTTTATGATCAAGCAAATATCCACACAGAAAATAAGCCAAATCTTCTCTTTTAGCCTATCGCATGCGCAAATAAGCCAAATCCTCTCTTTTAGCCTAACGCATGCTTCGCATGCAAATAAGCCAAATCCTCTCTTTCAAACCATCGCATGTTTCGCATGTTAATCTACATAATGTGATTGACAACCTTGTCAAACGAATTAAGTCTGTCAGTTCCAAACCCACAAATTAAGTCTGTCAATTCCAAACCCATGCAAGTTAACCCCTGCCTTATTGCCCAACCCAACTACCAGTATACCCCTGCCTTATTGCCCTACCCAACTACCAGTATACCCCTGCCTTATTGCCCTACCCAACTACCAGTATACCCCTGCCTTATTGCCCACCCAACTACCAGTATACCCCTGCCTTATTGCCCTACCCAACTACCAGTATACAACGATAAAACATTCATTGACACAGCACCAAAGCACCAATTATGTTGCCGAACTTCTAGGGATCTACCAAGGTGATAACCTTTTATAATCAAAGCACCAATTATGTTGCCGAACCTCTAGGGATCTACCAAAGTGATAACCTTCTATGATCAAGCATCACCCATATATCTGATCAAGCATCACCCATATATCTGGACATTTCTTTTTATTGACTGCAGAATTATACTTTTATGTGAGATACAGTAGATGGACAGAAAATTAACAACTATTAACAACTATCATACTGACAAACCTCTTCTTAGAAGGGGAATCAGGGTTCTATAACTCGAAAATTAACAACTATTAAAACTATCATAGTGACAAAGGACAAACCTCCTTGCATCGGATGGACAGAAAATTAACAACTATTAACAACGATCATAGTGAGAAACCTCCTTCTTAGAAGGGTGAATCAGGGTTCCCTATGAGATTATCTATTCAATTCAACTACTATAGCGACAAACCTCCTTCTTAGAAGGGTGAATCAGGGTTCCCTAGTTATGGGATTATCTATTCAATTCAACAACTACATGTCCGATGCTTCTCCTGCATGTTCTCTTGGATGCTCTTGTAAGTTCTCTAGGATGTTCTCATGGATGCTTCTGCATGTTCTCTTGGATGCTTCTGCATGTTCTCTTGGATGCTCCTGTATGTTCTTTAGGATGTTCTCATGGATGCTTCTTAGCTTCAATGAATGAAAGTCATTTATGAGGAAGAAAACATATCAGCCTACACAGCACAATGTAAAATCAGATACACACCAAATAAGCGTAACTGTTATATTATCTACAACTCTAATAAAGTCCACATTCAAAAATCCACATGATTCATATGAGTGAATATGTGCTTTGATACAACCAGATGAGCACACACCAAACCAAGACAAAAACCAACCACAAATGAAATCGATCATTAATGCAGAGGACCACCCAATTTTCCATCACATCACAATCATTTTAAGCCACATGCCACCACCATTAGAATTAATTTTACATATTTTTCTTAGCAAGATGTAGATGCACGCAGACACACATGTACGCGCATACATTTAGGGTTTTGATGCGTGCGCACAAACACACACAGGCAGTTTTGGTATGTCAACCAATGCACCTATACGATGTCCTTCAAAGATCCATCTTAGAGATGGATTTTTGATCTATATTTATACATGTCAATAGTCTCAACAACCAAGATATTTTAAACTTCCCTTTTGAACTGTTCATTTTAATTTTTTAACTTTTCACCGATCATCAGATCAGCACTTCTATTTGTTCGAGCAGAAAAATCAATCTAAATGTGAAATGCATCTAATGTGTCTTAGGACATGTTTCAGACCCTAAATCCATTACTAAGATAGATCTTTCAAAGGGGATCACATTTGAATAAGACATCCTATTAAATGTTGTGTGTGTGTGTATCACTTACAGCTGCTATTGTGGTTGATTTGACAACAGTATAGTAACAGCTTCATCTACCCAAGTCTGACAATGCAAATTGCAAAACAGCTTTATTAAGCCATTTTCATAAAGACACATTAATATACAGTAAGAATGACAGCTACATAAGAACACCTGGGAAACCAGGCATGTTAATTGCAGCACTGTAAATATTTAGCATTGACAGGCAGCATCACATCATGTAGCCATGATTAAACCCAACCCAGAATATTTACCAAGGATGTCATGGAATGTCCCCTACGAAACATGTACCCATGAAGGATTACATATGGGAAATAATTACCACCTAGATAGGAAGTATTTTCAATGTTAATAAAGCTCAAGCATAAGATTTTTTTAAACTGTTTAATAGACCCTCAAAAAAATTATGAATGGGAGAGCTTTTTTAAAGAACAAACTAATTATCAAATATCAATAATTTTTAGCTACTCTTCTATTACCTTGTCCTTGAAAGCGAACACACTAAGATCTATTAAAAACAGAAGTTCTATTCGTAGCATATTTGATGTTATCTATCTAAAACAATATAATAGGAAACACCGTAACAAAGATCTGTCATATTGGAAAGCCATACAAACCAGCTATCAATCTCGTCAAATGCTTTTAAGTCACCATAAAATAAATGGCAAGATAATGGTGCATATATCAGACTTGATCAAAAGATCTCTGATGGTGCAGAAGAATAAAAATTAAAAATTGTGTAAAATTAGCATAATAATGATTAAGCATCCTAAAGCCCAAATGGAAACGCCAAAATATGGGGAACAACCTCACCGACCATAAAGATAAGCCAAAATATGGGGAACAACCTCACCAGCCATAAAGATACACCAACTGAATAGCATTTGACGTTTGCTCATAGATTGATGGAACTCAAGGCAAATATCCAAACAACATCAGCACAACTAAAGTACCAAATAATGAGGCATAAATATATCTAAGTTCAAGACACTCACTTTTGCATAGTAATCTTTCCACACTCTCCTGGCGATCTGATGACCCCCCAAATCAAATGCTTTGAACTTAATTTTTCCAATGCTTAGTTCTTCTGATGTTGGATACTGGGTAGGTTGGTGTTGTACCAATCTCTGCAACCACCCAGAGCTAAAATCAAACCCATTCTTGTTGGGCCATATAGACACTAATCTATCACCACATCAAAAACACACTCACAATCACAATCCAAAACACAATCACAATCCAAAAAGCTACACAATGACAAATATGTGGGTAAATGGCCAAGGAAAACGTTGAAATAAAATATAACGTGTCAACAACAACACAGTATACCATAAAAACAACACAAACTTGAAAAAGCTACACTCACAATCACAATCCAAAACACAATCACAATCCAAAAAGCTACACAATGACAAATATGTGGGTAAATGGCCAAGGAAAACGTTGAAATAAAATATAACGTGTCAACAACAACACAGTATACCATAAAAACAACACAAACTTGAAAAAGCTACACAACGACAAATATGTGGGTAAGTGGCAAGTATACCACAAAAACATCACAAACTTGAAAAAGCTACGCAATGACAAATATGAGGGTAAGTGGCCAAGGAAAACATTGCAATAAAATATAACGTGCCAACAACAACACAGTATACCACAAAAACATCACAAACTTGAAGTAAAATATAATCACTATGTAAACAACAAAAACACAAAAAATAACACAAAAAAATCACACACACACTTGCACACACAACACAAACAAAAAATTCACCTTTGTCCAGCAAAAGTAGACCATAAAAGGAAAAGATAAAGTACAGCTGCATTAATATGACCATCACAAACATTTCCAAGTACATTAACAGCAAC